CGCTACCGCTTGAGCCACATCCCCAGCCCATCTTCAGCCCTTTTTAATTTGTATTTTGAGTCTGGGTTTCAATAAGTTGTCTAGTCTGCCTGTGAACTTGAGATCCTTCTGCCTCGGCCTCCCAAGTTGCCTACGGGTGGATCATACCTGATGCCACGTGTGCTAGCACTACCTTGTGTGCAGAATCCTTCGTAATCCATTAATGTTTTAGCTGGAGCTCAAAACTTAAAAGGTTAGACTTAAGTCAAAATTCAAATATGTAAGAAAAAAAATTGAGAAGAGGGAACCTCAAATGTACCCTAATAAGACATCCTCCTAATAATTCCTACCACTGCTGTTGCTTCAAGTCGTGGGTGCTCTGATGGCCGTTTGGTGGACAGTGCAATTCGTCCTACCTGCCATATTCTGGAAGGAGGGTGGTGGCATGGAAACAGGTGGCATTCACGTTTCTGAGTGGGTTTTGATACCCTGTTGGAGAAACATGTCAGCGCTTGTGCAACATTAACAGAACCTGGGCAGCTTTAACGCAGCAGCCTCTGTCTATGTCAGAATGAGTTAGAAAGCGGGCATCAGAACCCAGAAATCTGGCTTCCTGTGTGTGCTTGTGAGGGGCAGCAACACTGCCAAGCCAAGGGAAGAGGACCCCTCTGCACAAGTGCCTATTGTGTATCTCTATGGGTCACGTGAGCAGAGCAGGCACTTTCAAGGCCAGAGCCTTCACCCCTCCGGTGGGTGTTGAAGGGACGGCCTGTGACTGGCTGACTCCTGTTTCCTTCTAATGATAGGATTAGAAGAAACGTCCTCAGAGCAGTGTCTGTCGAACATCATCATGGAGCCATCTTTCTAGCCTGCCTTTTCCAGAACGTACTCCACCAAGATGGCCTGCCGAATTTACGTCCATCATCATTTTGTTGCTCCAGTCTGTTTTGCTCTGTCTTTGACCCCAAGTCACAGCTTCCAGTCACCATTCATTCATTCATTCATTCACCCATACTGGCAGACCATTCATCCATTATCCATCCATTCAACAAATAGTGTTGAGTGTGACGGCACAGGCACTGTATGTGGTGACATAGCAATAAGCAGGAAAGTAGTTCTCCTCTAAGAAGCTTAGGAACTAGCAGGGAGGCAACATGGCAACTCTAGGGGACCCTTACGTTCCACAGAGGCGTTTGTTAGCTAATGACACTGAACATTGTTTTACTGAACAATTTTATACATAGATCATGCTAGATAGGGAAGAGTGTGTGATTAGTCATTGATTGTTGTCTATTTTACTTTTTCCCCCTTGTTGGTTGAGTGTAAGGCTGGGAAACATTTGTTAATTAACAAAATGGGAAGAAGCAGGATTTCCGGCCCTGGTATGAAAGGCTTGGGTATTCTCTTTCCAAAAGAACAAGCTAAGCGACACCATCTCGAGCTTTCCTCTTGTTTTTTTTTTTTTTTTTTTCAATATTTATTTTTCAGTTTTTGGCAGTTTTGAAATAAATTTCAATATTTATTTATTTTTCAGTTTTTGTATGTGGTGCTAAGGATCGAACCTGGGCCGCACGCATGCCAGGCGAGCACGCTACCGCTTGAGCCACATCCCCAGCCAGAGCTTTCCTCTTGTTTTGAGTTGCTCCTACATATCCCAGGGACTATAAGCTCCCCCCGGGTAGACATAAAATGTAGCATGCTTTCATCAAAATTATATGCCCACTGACGTCATGAATCCTCATTTTCTGTGAAGCTTACTCCCTACAACTCATTCCAAGTCCATGTCTTGTTCCGATAGGAATAAGGGGTTTTTGCTCCCTAACAGTTGTAGTCGGCCATGTAGAAATAGCAGGTCACCCAGGCAAGGTGGAGGAGCCATTTCGACAGCTGTGCTGTGGTCTTCCCTTCCTATTTGTTCACGTGGCAAAGCTCCTCCTGGTAGAACAGTTTGCCCCACTTCATTTCTACCTTAGTCTGGAAATCACATGGGCAGCAAGACAGAGTTCATCTGGAAGACCTGCCCCTGTGTTTGGCTGGTCTGGGGAGAAAGAATGCAGCACTTTCTTTGTGATTTCTGTCTCAGGAGAGATCAGCTTGTCCCTCCAGCATGAAGCTGATCCCTGTCACTTCTTGTGTCTGCTCTCTTGGGTAAGACCGAGGAGCTACTCAGGGTCCTTCCCCTGTGGAGTCTGTAAGAGGAGAGTGCATTTTGGATTTCATGGTAGTTTGAAGCTGACACTAAAATGCTTGCAGGAGAGGGTTCCTCAGTATGGGGGATGACAGGCAATTTGCAGACACTGAGGTGTCCGGCCCATAGGATATGTGAAAATGCCCTCCACATTGAGTGCTCCCTGCATGTCGTCTGTAGCACGGACTTTATGTTTATTAATTCATGGTATCCTCATACACACACTAGCATGTCAAAACTGTTATCACTTTCCCCTTACAGAGAAAGCAAGTAAAGGTTAGCAAGACTTCCAGATGTGGTGGCTCATATCTGTAATCCCAGCGGCTCAGTAGGCTGAGGCAGGAGGATCACAAGCTCAAAATCAGCCTCAGCAATTTAGCAAGGTCCTAAAGCAACTCAGTGAGACCCTGTCTTTAAATAAATATATATTTTGAAAAAGCTTTAAAAAGTAGCTCAATAGGTAAGTACCATTGGGTTCAATCCCGGGTAAAAAAAGAAAAAAAAGAAAAAAAAAAAAAGACTGACTCACCTAGGATTGTAGGCAGAGCTGAGATTTGAACCCAGTTTCTTGCTTTCCAGAGCCTGACTTTGAAACCCCCAAGTATGCCTGTGTTGCTGTGGCAAATTCTTCAGGATTCCCAGTGCCTGGTGCTCAACCCAGTACAGAGCAGACGTGCAGGAGATTTTCCTTTAAATAATGAACAAAGCCGGACCACATAGACCTTCCCCTTGCAGGCTTCCATCCTAGTTTGTAAGAGCTGCAGAAATACTGCAAGGGAGAGAAGTATTATAGAAATCGGAGGAAAACTAAGCAGTGCTGATAAGACGTGCTGCCCTCGTTTCCAGGGAGTGTGGTCTTTTGTGTTTTAGTCAAAGACCTGAGATGGGAGCAGGGGAGGACCCTGTGGTTAAAACATCAGAATCCAAGCTGTGCTCAGCCCAGTGCTCAGCCAAGGTTGAAGCTCCCTGAGCGGCAGCACTTAAGGGTACTCCCAGGGCTGCTCTTCCTGGTTCCTGAGGCTGTGGCTGGATGGAATCCAAGGTTTTCTTTCAACCTTTTGTCGAATTTCATCACTGTTAAGTTTAAAGGCAGATCTGAAAGATACTGCCAGGGCTCCTCTTGGACAGAGTTGGAAATGAGAATGGGAGAAATGGACTGATCATCCAGCACTGAGATGTGCTGTCTCCCATCTCCATGGGCTCCTCCTGAGCAGTCAATTCTCTGTGGGCAGAGGTTAACCAAGGCTGATGAAATTTTAAAGCACCAAGCACATCTTCTTCCCGGGATGCTGTAGCCAGAAGCATACAGTCAGTGCGGTCATCTGAAATTTTACCCTGGATCCTACTCATAAGTCACCTAGCCCATCCCCTCTCCGTCCTCCCTTTTCTACCGTGGGGGAAGGTGGGCCGAAAGGAGACAAGATGAGCCACTTCCGTCCCGGAATATGTGCACACCTTGTCTGGCCACCCTTCCACCATCTGTCTGTTTCTCTGATATTTTCTGTCTACTCTATTCAGCCTTCAAAAAACAGGTACTCTTTCTAGATGCAGGACTATAGTATATGATAATTATTTCTTGACAGGTTTATCTTAATTACTGCAGTGGTTCTTATTGATGGCACAGAGTTCTTAACTGTACTGTTTTTAGCACAAAACGAGCAGCTGGCCCTGAACACACATGGCACTGTAGCCTGGAGAAAAGGTGGGCGCAAGAAGTCGGGTGGTCAGGTGGCCTGTGTGGTCTCTCAGCCAGGCTCTCCCAGGGCAAGACTTCTCAGTCTCATTACTGTTGAGGTTTGGGGCCAAAGAATTCTTGGTTGAGGGGCTGTCCTACGTGAGCGCTAGGCTGCTGAGCAGCATCTGTGACCTATACCCATTAGATGCCATAATAGTCCCCCTAGCCCTAGTCCTAACAACATGTTCCAGAAATTTCCAGTTATTGCCTGAAGGGACAGAATTGCCCACCACTGGGAACCACTGCCTGAGGGAATTTGCACATGCAACTCCTGTTTTCAGAAGTCTTGTTGGTCTGCTCCTCGATTTCTTCTTCTTCTTTTTTTTTTTTTAAATTTTTTTTTAGTTGTAGGTGGACACAGTACCTTTATTTTATTTGTTTTTATTTTTATGTCATGGCGGGGATCTAAGCCAGTGCCTCACATGTGCTAGGCAAGTGCTGTACCACTGAGCCCCAGCCCCGGCCCCGTAAACCTTCTGAGGACTCGTTTTCTGACAAAGATGGGGGAGGAGGGGTGTCCCCACCAAAATGGCAATTTCTTAATTTAAATTCACAAATACTTTAAGAGAACTTGGAAAATAATACACTGAGTGAAAGGCACACGTGGATCCGTGCAGTATTGAAATTTGCCGGGGCTTCTGGTAAATCTGCATGGAGAATGCTCTTGTGATCAGAGTTTCCGAGTGAGAACCGGGAGCCAGGTGTGACTGGGTGGCCTGACGGGGCTCCACCCAGGACCCTTGCCCCTGCCTGGCGGGGTTGGTCTGCAGCCTTCTCCCTCAGGGAGAATTCGCTTAACCCTGATTCACAGATGATTACCAGCCAATCTACTGAGGTCCTCCTCCCACTTCTTGCCGGGAGTCTCATTCCTGCTGGAGAAGTTGGGGAGTTCCTGGAGGAGTACCTCCATTCAGGACCTGTGGGTTCTCCAGGAAAGTTGTGGCAGAAATTAAGGATGTGTCAGAGGCACAGGCAGAGACTCGATTAGGAAAGCAGAGACACAGGCAAGGGAGAAGGCGGGTCATCTTGAGAGCCCGAAGCAGCTAACCTTGCTTTGGGGTGTTGATATTTATGGAGGACGGTAGCTCCACAGTAGCTAGGGCCGAGCTGGAGGTGGAGTCGGGATAGGGTCACACAGTTCACCCTGGTCTCCCTGAGTGCTGGCCCATTGCCCCACTCTGGGTCACTTTTGCAGGCGAAGACATGGGCCAAGGATGAGGACTGAATTGCTCACCAGTTGCTTCTTTTGTTCTCCATTAGTTCACAGTGTTGCCTGTGTTCCAATGGCTTACGGATACTTTTCCTTTGAGAAAATTTCCTTTCTGCATCCCCAAGTTCCTATCTCATCCCCAGCTCTGAACTTGCTTCCCACCACCCAACCCCGTCCTTTGAAGCCTCCCTTCTCTGTTGCTTCCCCTATGAGGGGCCACCTTGATGGCCTTCCTGGGCCAGCTGCTGTGTCCCCTTCAGCTAGGGCCTTAGTTGTCCTTCCTCGGGGGACACTTGGGTTCCATAACTCCTGTGTCTTGTCCTTGTATCTTCCCATCTCTCTTCCTTCCAGGACCTTAAAGATTGACAGGAGTGAGATGAGTCTTTTATTCTATCTTCTCACACAGAACCCTATTAGAGCATCCAGAACCCTATTGGAGCATTTTTGGCCAAATTCTTGTGTTCAGGCTATCAATTACCTCGCACTAGGGGTGCAAGAATGAATCTGATACCAGCCATGCCTTGGAGGAGGGCAGGGTAGCAACCTAAATAGGTCATTTGAACACCCTGAGGTCAGGTGTGTACACAGAGCATTGTGGGCACCTGAAAGGGGACTACCTGACCACCCACCCCCACCCCCACACCCACAGACGTCAAGTCAGGGATTCCAGAAATATTTCCTAGAGTGAACCCTAAGTTACATCTGGGAGTGGGGGACACTCATCCTAATGTCTTATGTCACCAATGTTTTTGCCCCTTCACCAGTTCTTTTCCCTCAGGATTGTGGAACCACTAACAGGACCCAGCTCCCAGTGAGCAGCTCAGGAGACTTTCATCCTTGGTCAGAATAGGAGAAATGGGAGGGAGACTTGCAGATCACTTACCCTCCAGGGGGTTGGGGGCTACAGAAGGGGTGGGGGGGTGGGAAGGGGAGGGTATTTCTGTCTTTTCTGGGAAGGGGTGGAGATTTCCCAGGAGGCTGAGCACCACTCCTGTTTGCTCCTTTCTTTCTGGTTCTCCTCCTGGCAGTTGTGGCCCTGGGGGGAGGGGTGGTCCTTGGGCCTGCAGTTTGGGTTCTATTGAAGGTTGAGGTTGCCTGAGGTCACTCTTGCCATCTTAGAGGAATTTCTGGCCTCAGGCACCCTTGTCCTGGGAGATAAGCGAGATTAGTGCTGGGCAGCATTTCTGTAGGTCACCTGGGCAGTACAAGATTGGGGGTGAGGGAGACAGCACTTGGATTCCGGGAGGCTGGAATGGGAATCAGAAAGAGATGGAGATGGAGGGATCTGGCCCAGAGATGGAGGGATCTGGCCCAGAGATGGAGGGATCTGGCCCAGAGAGGGAGGGATCTGGCCCAGAGAAGGAGGGATCTGGCCCAGAGAAGGAGGGATCTGGCCTGGTAAGGAAGGGACTTGGAGGATGGGCGAGGCTAGAGTTTCACTGCGACCCCAGGAATGATGTGGGCTGTCCCAGCGGGAAGTAAAGGGCCCAGTTAGGTTCTCACCTTGTACAGGAGGCAGCTAGAGGGTCCCTGTGCAGACCTGGGGAAGGGGGATGGAGGGAGGGAGTAGGTCTGAGAGGTCAGCAGAACTGGGTAATGTATCGAGGGCCTCTTCCACACTCTAGTAAGTACAGGAAACTACAACAACTTTTCTGTTACTCTTTCCAAGTTGGCTCACTGCATTGAGTTTTTAACGTTGCCATGTATGCACCTCAAAAAGCAGCCCTTTTATTCAGCCTGCTGAGGTATGAACTTTGCAGAAAGTGTCTCATTCATCCTTTCTCCATCCACACCGCATTTTCTCTAATTTGATTTGAAACTGAGGACCACAAAGGTTAACTAAAGTCGCCATGACTTTGCTCTGTGGTGGAACCATTGCACATTCTTCCTGGGCACCTTCTTGCCTTTCCCCAGTCTCCCTGGATCTTCTTTCAGGCTGAAGAAGTTTCCTTTAGCTTCAAAATGTGCAGAGACTTTTTTCCATCTCAATCCCTCAAATCACAGGAAAACCTAAGAAGTTACCAAGACCGAATGGTCTGATGAAAGTTTCACGGGATCACTGAAACACCAATTTGGCCCCCATTTCTAGAGGACTAAAAGGAGTGAACTTTTACAGGTGACTGGGAGAAGGGACCGTAGAGAGTTTGCCCAGTTTTTTATTATCATTATTTTTTATGTTGGTTCCGGGTCTCGCTGCGTTAGGGCTTCCTCTGACTCCCGCCGTCTTCTCAGATGGCTGAAGGATTGCTTGTCTCTCCACAGTCACATCAGCAGCAGCTCCAGTCAGGCTTGCTCCCCAGAGGAAATGTTGCTGACAGCTCGGTCCTTGACCCTGATGCCAATCCAATGGCGAGGACACGTCTTGAGAAAAAGGAAAAAGACAGTTTATTGTTTTGCTAGCAAAAGAGAAGCACCGGGGACTCCTGTCCCAAAGGCTGTGATTCTGTCCACCCGCAGGAACAGGGGGCTTTTAAGAGGTGATTCAGAGAAAATGAGGTTAGGGAGGAGAGATCCGGAAGGAGAAGATCAGGGAGAAGGTTGTTAAAAAGAGAAAAACGCGAGTTTCAAAGCGACAAGAATCAAGTGAAGCCTTGTTGGAGAAGTGCCCGCTTTGTAAGGTCTGGGTCTAGCTGTGTCCTGAGGGTGCTGAGCTGGCCTGGTACTCAGCGCCACCTGTCAGTCAACATGCCGTCAGTATGGTGGGAATGGTTCATCAGTGACCCCTGGGGGGTTGCCTGCCTGCTCCACGGAACCCTCTCCATGGGCAGTGTAGACAGGGGCCTTTTAGGGACTATGAGGAGTGACAGAGGGAACAGGACTAGGAACAGCCTGGACTGGGCCTCAAGCATGGCCTTTGACTTTCTGTCGGAGAGACCTTGAGCTCACTCAGACCAGAAGCTGCGTCTTGGTGTGCCTTGTCCCTGGCACTAGGATTTGACTTCTCCAAGGTCCCCTTGAGTGTGGCCCTTGTTTCCTGGCCTGCTCAGTGAGGCGTCCAGGTGAATGTGCACTTGGCAACGGAGGCACTGCGTAGGGAGGTCGCCCGGGAGTGTGCAGAACTGCGATCACCTCAGTCATCTCACTCTCAAGCGTCAGTTTTGCAAGACCTGAGGGAATGCTGGGGCTGGAAGCTAGGGGCATTATGCTACTGAGCTACAGTCACAGCCCCTTTTAATTTTATTTTGAGACAGTCTCATTAAGTTGTCCGGGCTGTCCTTGAACTAGAGATCCTCCTGCCTCACCTTCCCAAGTTGCTAGGATCACAGGTGTGCACCAGGATGCCCAACTTCCAAGGAAGAGATTTATTAAAATTGAAACAGAGTTGCATAGGCCCTGATATGACACGCACAATTCCCATGGAGTTTGAAGACACTGCAGAGGCTTTTCAGACTAGCTGCAGCCTCCCACACTGAAGGAACATCTGTGATGGTTTGAGAATGAAACTGACCTGGGTGGTCTCTGAGTAACTCTGGGAGCAAGGACCTTATTGTGGCCTCCTGGCTTCTCTCTTCTACCATCCATTTCCCAATGAGGAATCTGAGTTGTGAGGCTGGGTGGGATGGAGTCACCCGCCAGAGTATGCCTGCCTGTTCCCCATTCTGATGGCATATTTGATGGAGGGCTGCTTGGTTCTCTTGCCCCTGGTCTATGGTCACCACCTTTACGTACCTTCCCTTGTTCCTGCTAGAAGAAACCCCTTCTCTGGATGATCGCAAAGCCTACTCTGTGCTCTCCTCTCCCCAGTCACCTTGGACAAGCAATTGCTGATCCTGTTGCCACAGTGTATACGTTACCCTCACGTTCTCATGCAGGTGCTTACACTGGGGTTGTCTTTGAAATCTGAGCACAACACGTGTGTGAAATTTGCCAGTTCACATCTTAACGAGCTGTCCTGAGCATCACTATGAGGGTCTCATGCTCCCCAGTGGGGCTGGAGAATAATTGGGCCCAAACCTCCAAAGCTTGGATGGGACTTGTAGTAATAAATGGAAGAGGAACCAATAGGCGTTCCTTTCCCCCCTTTTTACAGAAAGATGTTGGAGGAGAAAAGCAGAACTATGGACAGGCAAACCAGGGACAGGTGCACCAGAGACAGGCAAGCCAGGGACAGGCGAACCAAGTTTTACTTGATATATCGGAGAAAAAGAAGGAAGGATGGTGGAGCTCTTTTATTAGCATGTGTATGCATCTGTGTGTGTGCATCTGTGTGTGTGTGTGTGTGTGCATGCATCTCTGTGTGTGTGCACCTGTGTGTGTGCATCTGCGTATGCTCATCTGTGTGTGTGGGCATCTGTATGTGGGCATCTGTGTGCGTGCATCTCTATGTGTGAGCATCTGTGTGTGCACATGTCTGTGTGTGCGCGTCTGTGTGTACGCATCTGTGGGCATCTGTGTGTGTGCATCTTTATGTCTGCGCATCTATGTGTGTGCATCTTCGTGTGTGTGCATCTTTGTGTATGTGTATCTTTGTGTATGTGCATCTGTGTGTGTGCATCTGTGTGTGCACATCTGTATGTGTGTGCATCTGTGTGCATCTCTGTGTATGCGCATCTGTGTGTGTGCATCTGTGTGCGCATCTCTGCGTATGCGCATCTGTGTGTGTGCATCTTTGTGTGTGTGCATCTCTGTGTGTGTGCATCTGTGTGTGTGTGTGTGTGTGTGTGTGCATGCAGCCTTGCTCTTTGTAAAACCGTGTTGTTAATTGTGGCTGTGAGGTGCTACACAATCCAGGAGTTCACAGCAATCATTTGAGGCAACTGCACACAAGAGGTGGAGCATCCAGCCCAGTGCAACTCCCTTTGAAGGATTCTTGGGGGTGGAACGGCGGGCCTTGTGGGGCAGGGCCTGCTGAAAATGGAGAAAGGCGTTCCTGACCTCGGAGTTTAGCTCAGATTAAACCAACAAGTCTGCTGACACATGTCACCCGTTCAGGAGCCAGAATCACCCATGTCTGGGCGTGAGCACTCAGCCATGTGTCCCCCTGGCCCCAATCTGAATATGCAGTGAGCAAAGGTGCTGTTGACAGCCTTGTGCTTCATTAGGCTTCGTCTGATTTCACTAGAACTCCTGGCTCACCAAGCCCGACCGCCTGGCTTCCCAGGTAGGCTGGGAAGCCACCATTGGTAGCACGTCGTCTCCATCTTAGAGGTGAAGATGCGGAGCTCATGTGGCCTTTGTGTTACCCTCAAAGGCACCCGTCCTTTGGCTCTGAGTCCCCGTGCCAGTGTCCTGGTCGACACCCTGAGCAGCCCCTGCAGGTGTGCCTGTTTGGGCTACATGTTGTGAGTGCCAGCAGCTGAGGTCCACTCACAAGTACAGAGAAAAGGCATCAAGAGGACACACCCCGCCGCAGGGGTGCCTTTCTCCCCGGTTGGCTGGTTGGCTGGTTTCCTAACGTGTGTTGGGTGTTTTTTTAGTGGCATGATAGAAAGTTCTAGAAGGCTCTCTGATCAACATCTGTATCTGGACAGAAGGTAGATCAGATGCCGAGTTCCCTACATGAAATACTATGTGGTGGACATGGCCGACCCTTCAGTGTGTTCAGTTTAGGAGAATTTCTTCACCACCGACCAGGGCCAGACCCATGTGGGACACTGGATACAAGGATGGGATGCATCATGGCTCCCAAGGAGTCCAGCCCCGTGGGAAGGGGGACATGTATGCACAGGGAATGACACTCATCTCCACCACGGGGCCTTGGTCCTGTGCAGGACCTCTCATGCCATTGGTCTCACTCACACAGGGAGTCACGGCGAACTGGCCTCGAGGGACCACGAGAAGACAGGAAGGAGACCCCCGAGTGGATGCCGGGGCCTGAGCCGGGTTTCCAGGGTCTCCAGGGTCGAGTCTGCACATTTGGCAAATCAGCAACCGGGAAGAGGGAGAGGAACAGAGGGGCAGCATGTTCCGGGGCTCAGAAACCACACCAGCACGAAGGCTGTCCTGGCCTCTCCCCACCCCTGGGGAGGCAGGGGCCTCACTTTCACTTTTTATTTTCAAAACACTGCACATTCCAGGGAGCAGCAGCAGTAGCCGCAGTCTTCTACTTTATCTTTTCAATTCTTGCCATTCTTTCCTGCAGGAGAGCGAGTTCCTTGGGAACAGTTGGTGTCCCCGCTCCCCAGGATGGAGCTTCCATAAATATTTGTTGAAGGAATGAAAGAGCTCTGGAGGAAGGGCTAAGAAGTGGGCAGCCCAAGGCCAGGGGAGGGCTGCCCCTCCACCACCCCAGCAGCTTGGCTCCAGCCAAGATGGCATCAGAGCAGCAAGCTGCTGGTTCAGAGGCTGCTTTTGTGAGAGAGAGAGAGAGAGAGAGAGACTGAGTTGCTTGTCTGTTGTTGGAGTGGGCTATAGCTTGGTACCATAGAGTCACCAGTCCCTAACGTTGACCATTCCTGGGCAACGGGAATCCCTTCACAGGGCACCTCTTGCTCGGGTCTGAGGTCAGATTCCAGAAATGGGTGCAATTCATTGTTGAGCTGGTGCTGGGGGGCGGGCAGGGCAGCTCACAAATGTATACAATTAAGCTAGCTGCTGACTTTAAAAAAAAAAAAAACAAACTTTTTCAAATGACATGTCCTTACTTTCTGGTAGTTATAAAATATCTTCCGGAGTTGGACAGATTTGAGGAGTTGTCCCGTCAGTAAAGTCCGAGTACCATGGAGTCAGGGCTCTCACTTAGGATGCCACCCTCAGGGTGAGGCTTGGCTTTTACAGTCTTGAAGTCCTTAACAGTCTTTGGAAAAGGAGACCCACACTCTCATTTTTTCCAGGTTCTAGAAACTACCCATCGCGTCCTGCATTGAGTTGAGAGTTCATTGAGCTTCCAAGTGTGCCAGTTACTGTGGAGTGGCTACGGTGCCCCCCTAAGTGGACAGATTTACAAAAGCAGGACCTCAAGGCTGGGCAGCAGTGGTAGTAACCAGCAGTGAGCAGCTGGCACTGTGGATAGCGCCGGGTCCCATTACTGCCACCTCAGTCTCCAAATGGTGCCCTGTGGCTTTTAGACCTTGATGTGCTCAGAAATCTATTGTGCAGCATCATGACTGTAGTTAATAATAATGAATTCTATGCTGGAATGGGGCTGAAAGAGCAGGTTTTGAACGTTCTCACCACAAATGATAAGCAGGTTGGATCTGAACTATCTTGATCAAATCGTTTCCCCATGTAAACGTGCATCAGAACGTCATGCTGTATACCATAAACATACATACTTTTTAACTTGTCCATTAAAAAGTAACTTTAAACATCTGTGATGAAACAGTTGCCAAGTCCTTCACATCCAGCACGTGATTAAACTTTCCGCCAAGTCTTATCAAAACCCAGCCTGAAGCATGGCTCTATGTGGATGATACTTCTCAAAGGAAGGAAGATTCATAAAAAGAGGTGCCAAAGTCCAAGCCTGAAGTTACTCCAAGTAAGAGAATTCTTGTCCCAAAGAGGATGAGAACTTAATCACTTTTGTGGGTGTGTGTGTGTGTGTTAATGTAATTATCATTCCCCCCTCTGTATTTCGGCTGTCTCTCTGGTTCAAGTCATGAGTTAAAATGTGCCTTTCAAATTTTCCAAGAGCATCAAGTTTATGTTCAGAGAAGGTAACATTTTTGAAGGAAAAAAAGTACAAAAAAAGCAGAGTTCTCAAAATGGTACTTGATTACTCTCAATGTTGGGCGAATCTGCTAACCTTGTTGGCAGGAAATTTGTTTTCAGATGGAAAGGATAGAAGAGGGTGAAGGTGAAACTGCTGCCATTTTGAATGATCCCCATTGTTCCCGCCAAGACAAACCACTTTCTCAGGAACAGAATGAGCCCCACAGGTCCTCAATCTTTGAGGTCCCCTGGGGAGACAAGTAGAGTTCCTTGTTTTCAACCCCGGGAAGTGTAAATGCTGCAACTTTTATTGTGGTAGGCGGGACCTGGTTCCTCCTGAACATCTCTGGAGGCAGGAAGCAGACCCTGGAATCATGCTGAGTTACCCTTGGCCACTGAGGCCATTATTGGGTGAGTCATTTGAGAAAATGCCAGAGCCAGGGTGTCATTTTTATGTAGAGATTTGACTTCACTGGAGCGTCCTTGTGTGTGAGATGGTGAAACTGGGTTGGGAGGTCAGGTGAGTCATGGCTGGGTACAAGATGGCCGCAGGCTCTCTTTCCCATTTCTGTCCTCCACCCTCTTTCCTATTCTCTTATTCACATTCCTTCTACATTTCCATAAAGAAATTAATTTGACTTGTATTCAATGATCCCCTTCTTCCATTTGTTCATTAATGTTTAGTGGTTCTATTGATAGAGAATTCACATACCATAAAATCCACCCATCTGAAGGGTACAGTTGGATGAGTGTGGTCTGTTTTTGTGTCAGGGTCTCACTAAGTTGCTTAGGGCCTCATTAAGTTGTTGAGACTGGCCTGGAGCTTGGCGATCCTCCTGCCTCGGCCCCCCGAGTGGCTGTTACGGGTGTGTGCCGCTGAGCCTGGCAAGGGACTGCGCTCTGGCCCCCAGCTTGAGGGTGAATCACCTCCTATGCAGCCTGTGTTAGAATGTCAGCCTCCTTAGGAACTCATTTCTTTTCTCTTAATTATTTATCTCCCCACTGATTTCATTAACTAAATGAAGCTTTTGGCAACTCCCCAATCTCATTCACGAGTGTCTTCCTGGGTGTCTGTTCTGTGGGATGCCGGGGACAGAGTGAGCCCGACGCCACGCCTGCCCCATGGAGCTGGCCCGGGGAGGACAGGTCTGCTCTGCTCTGGCTGCCAGAGTGAGCTCCTTCAGCCCCTGTCATTCCTCCCAGAGAGTTTGAGTCCAGGAACTTTGTCCAGATTTAATCCCAGTGAGTCTCTAGAGCCAAGAGGCTCGGCTGAGCCCTCCCGTGGGGGTGAGCCACAGCAGAGCTTGTTTCTAGGCAGCCTTGCGTGGAGAAAAACAAAAAAAACGACTCAACCCACTGATGGTCTTCTCTGAACCTCTGCGCACAGCCTAGACCCCTGGGGGCGACAGAAGCGGCTGTTGGTGCCTGTGCCTCTGGTGGGTTTCCCTTGCCCCTAGAGACTCGGGGAGCTGAGGGTGAAGGTTGCTCTTAATGTCTGTGAGCTTTGCTCATGGCCTGTGTTGGGATCAAAGTTGAGGCCGTCCGGCTTTTGTTTAGGGTCTTGCTGACAGATCAGGTCAGTTTAGGATGGGCTTCAGCTTTCCTAAAGGGCTCGGTGGCACTGAGGTCCACCAGCAGACCTCAGGGGGCTGGCCCACTCCATGCCTGGCCTCAGGGGGCTAGCCTGCTCTGTGCCCTGCTGATGGTGAAGTGTGTTTTCCTTACGGGCTGATATTTCCCGAGGGCTTACTCATTTCCTTTGTCTAAACATGATGCTGCTGCGACATATCTGGCCACTTTACTATGTGGACTGAAGTTGACTGTCTTACATCTTCTACAAGTACCCAAGACCTGTGTTCTGTTCTTTCTTTTCTAAAAAGAAAATCCAGCTATATTGCAATATAATGCACACCCCCTGCAACCTGCTCATTTAAAGCGTGCAATTCATTGGTGTTTAGTATTTTCACTGTTGTGTAGGCACCACCAATGTCCACATTTAAACACTTTCCTGACCTCAAATAGAAGCCCCGCACCTCTCAGCAGCCACTCTGCATCCCTCACCTCCTCTAGCCTGGGCCACCACCTGTCTACTTTCTGTCTATGTAGATTTGCCTGTTCTGAACACTTCATATACATCGAGTTATGCAATATCTGGCCTTTTATGAGGTTTCCTTCTCTTAACATTTTTGAGGCTCATTTGTGCTGAAGTATGTATCAGTAATCCATTTCTTTTTGTGGCTGAGTAATATTCCATTTTATGGATATATTGCACATCAGCTGATGAACATTCGGGCCATTTCCAGCTGTTCCGACTATGAGTCATGCTGATGTGAAAGGTGTACAAGTTTTTGTGTCCACGTGTGTTTCGTTTCTCTTGTCTAGGTACCTCCGAGTAGAGTTTGGGTGTCATACGGCACCTCACTCATCGAGGAACCAAAGCCCGGTATCTCTCATTTACTTCCCCAAACCTCTGAGGCTAAAGAAGCAAAGATATAGGACAGAGGTCTCTCAGACTCTCACACCCAGGACCCTTATTATTCAGACCCATATCAGAACATAATTGTGGCATCAACAAAGGAAAACTTGATACCTGAGATACCCCAGGAAAAGCATGGGATGCCCTTTAGAAGGTCAGTGGTCCAACCTGTGGTCCCATGGTGCTGGCCAGGTGGGTAACGGGGGTCCAGCCTGTCCACACCCGGCGTCTTTGGGTCAGTAGAGCTGCGTGGTGTTCGCTGCCTGCTCCGCACCGTCACCTTCATGATAGCAAGTGAGGTTTGCTGGGTGCAGCGGGAAGCTTTCTCTTAACAAGGTCAGGACTCGGGCATCTTTGAGCCCAAGCCCGTGTTCCAGAGCTCCCCACTCTGCCAGCATCTGCTTTCTTAGAAACAGGTCCTGTGAAGAGCACGATCGCGGCCAAACACACTGGCTTCCAGGGTTGAATCCCCATTTTGCTCTCTGCTTTGGTTCGTGTTTGCTGATCTCTAAGATCCTTAACTGCTCTTAGAGGAGAGCGGAGATCTGAGGATTACCCCAGCAAGTCCTAAGTGGCCCGAGCAGAGCTGCGGATTTGCTAAGTCATGCTTCTTGCAGGAGAAGAACTGAATGGAGTGGCCCTAGAGAGAGGTCTTGCAGGAATCCACGCTTTTGCTCTGGGCTCTAACGGGGTTCTTTCTTGAGTGGTAGATGTGAACAAGTTTGATCGCACTTAGTAGGTGCCACATATATGTTAGCTGAATGAATCGTGTGTGTGTTGTGTAAACGTATACAACACTTTTTTTTTTAAACTTTTTTTGAGTGTTTTCAGTCAGTTGTCTCATTTTATGCCTCCAGTAGTCTTGTAAGATGGGCCAACAGGAAAGGCAGAAGGGAAGACTGAGCCTCGGGGAAGGTAGGGTCAGAACAGGAGAGTGGCCAGAGCCAGAGAACTTCCCTGAGTCATAAAACAGGTAGCCCTAATAAATTAGTGCTTACTTAATATCAAATGGTGTATGTTAATATGCCTTTGTAATCAGAAAATGCTCCTTTTTTTCCCCTTGGAAACCTTTTATTAATAACCCCATAAAAGTTTCCTAAAATAAAACCTATACAGAATTTAAAAATCAAAATTCTTTTGAGTTATTACAATTAATAATTGCAACAATAACAGTAATAACTAAGACAGTATTTACTATTGGACTCTTTTTTTTTTTTAGCTTAAATATATTAGCCCTGTGGTAAACAATCTTTGTGAAATAATTGAAAGTACTGAGAAGCAGAAAGAAGAAAATGGATGTCCCCAAGATGTCTCTCCCATGGGAGCCTAGAGGCGTGTTAATTGACCATCCATTTGGAAAAGCAGTTTGTTAACAGACAGTAAGTTGGAGGCGTGCACGTCAACCCAGTGTTGATCACTGCACTCTCCGCAGCAGTGAGAAAAGATGGAAATAAACTAAATGCCTGTCGATATGGGAACAGAATAATTTGGTTGGAGTCACACAAAAGAAGTACTCCATCACCTTTAAAACTGACTAGTTGTAGAACATGTTCAAAAAGAAACCTTAAAATAGTGTTGAGGGTAGAGAGGAAATTGCATAAGGATCCCAACATTATCAATGAGGTCTTGTTTGTGAAAACTTACGCACACAGTAAACTCTCATTTCAACCTTAGATTGTGGGGTAGCGTCAGGATCTGTAAATTTTTTTTAAAGAAGCAAACATGACTAGACATCAATGTGGTAAAACCAACTATGTTTTACATATTAAAAATACTTTATGCATTTGGGGAAGAAAAAAAAAGTTAGACGACTTACCATTCAGGGCACTTCCTAAACAGAGACGTGTTGTTTTTTTTTCTTATAAAGTTGGCTCGTGCATACAGGTTTTTGTTGACTGTGTATTGTGAACATCTTTTCTGTCACGAATAAGCTTCCTCATTTTCCCCATCTTTCTCTTTCAACTTCATTATGTTCTTGGATGAGCATTTTTTTAGAAAAAAGCAAAATTACTGAGGCATCCTTTGAAATTTTTAATGATTACTTTCTAGTTATTTATTATGAGTATTTATAATTACTAACTTAGTTACACACATGTGACACCGAAGGAACACGTATGTAAAAGTAGAAGCAGAATAGCCATCTGGTTTAGTCAAGATGCACGGAATCTCGTGTGTAACCAAGAGAAAACAATAATTTAAAAAAAAAAAACACACACAGAATCCACTTAGAGAATTCCCCAAGGTGGGAATTACGTGAAATGGAGAATCACACAAGGGCCTGGAGTGGAAGGGGATCTCCGGTTCCTCCTGCAGGACCAGTCTCTGTTGTCTTCACCTCCAGGATGTTTCCTGATGTCCCAGGCCAGGGGTCCACCCAAGAGAAGCGTCCAGGACCGCTGAGGATTTGCAGGACCCTATTCCTGCCTGCGACCTGTCCTGGGCCACAGGGCCCACCATGTAGGAGGGCAGCCATACGCCCTGCCTGAGGCATCCACTGCCTGGGCTCTGACAGGTGACAAAACAAAGGCATCTGGACAGCTCCACCGGCTCCTTGCCATCCTCCAGCAGAGGGACAGGCCTTGGACGCTCAAGAGCGCCTCTCCTGTTCTGAGCGGGGACACGGCAGCCGCCCCGGGCATCTCATTCCCACTGGGCACGAGTGAGCTGCCGAGGACTAGGGCACGGCTTCCCCTTGATCCTGGGGCCTCAAACGGAGCCTGGAAAGGCCGAGCTCTAATGCGGGGGACATTTTGGACCCCAGGAGACAGAAGAGCCATCAGGGAGAAGGGCCAAGAGAATGAGGCCCAGGGATCAGAGATCTCCCAGAGCAGAGCCAGCGCTGAGCAGGGCCCTCCCCTGTCCCTAACCATCGGTGACAGGCCTGGGCACTTGACACTGTCACCGCCGGTTTTCTCGTCTCCAAAATGAGTTCAGTATTGATCCCCACAGTTACTTCATCTCTGCTCGCTGGTATCCCATGTATGAACCTGCAGTGTCAACTAACACGGCAGGCAGGGCTCTTTCAACGACCGTCTGGGTACAGCGGGTAAGTATTAGGAAATCGGTTGATCCTCACAGAGCCTTGTACCCCCAAATAAATGGCAGATAGTCAAAGTGCTGAAAACAAAATTAACTGTAAATAAGTTCTGAGAATTTATTCTAAAGAAATAACTCAAGATTCCAGGAGAGAAGCTTAATGTCCACATTTGTTAATCACTGCATTATTTATTCTTGAAAAGACAAAAAGAAAGAAGCCCAAATATACACTAATGAAACAATTGGGCGATAATTAGTATATCCCTAGTATTTCTACTACAAGGATATTTATATTGTGACACAGAAATTGAATATGATCTTGCACTAAAGGTTAAAAAAGGGCATTTAAAATTGATTGAACATAAGATCACAGCTATATCTAAAAATAAATATAGTTGAAATAACTGAACATTTGCCAGTTTTCTGCAGAACAAAAAAGTAGAGTAGAAAGAAAACTTTTCTAAGCTTAAACATTGTGAAAGAAATCACAGGACTTCTTTCATAATAATTTAAACCTCTCATAACCTAAAAGTAAAAGCAAACAACTGAAAAAAATGGTCATTTTTAAATGAGATAAGATGTTATGCTAGCTAATATATAAAGAGCGCATACAAATCAATATGCAAGAGATAAATAAATAATAGATAATATGGAGAATTCAGGTTGAAAAAGCAGTAGTTTAATAAATTTTAAAACTGAACAGCTTTTTAGCCATCCAAATAATGCAATTTAACATAATGAGACACAATTTCTAAGGCATGGAGAGAGTTTAGTTTTGTCTCTGTTTAGTTTTGCAGTATGTATGCTAGGCAAGCACTCTATCACTGGGCTACACTCTGGACCCTTTTGTTTTGTTTTGAGACAGGATCTTGCTAAGTTGCCCAGGCTGGCCTCAAACTTGCAATCCTCCTGCCTCAGCCTCCCAAGTCAGCTGGGATGGTGGGCATGCACTTATGAACAAATTTTATTTGTTTTAAAATGAGAATTCTTGTTACTGATGAATGTGATAAGATGGGTATTTGTGTATATTGCTGATAAGAATGTAAATAGTTGAGAACATTTTAGAAAGCAATTGAGCAACATTCACCAGATATCTTTAAATGTTTGTCCCTGGGACCCAGAAATTTTGCTTCTGAGAATTTATTCTAAAGAAATAACTCAAGATTCCAGGAGAGAAGCTTAATGTCTTAATGTCCACATTTTCTGCATTACTTATTCTTGAAAAGACAAAAAGAAAGAAGCCCAAATATACAATAATGAAACACTTAGGCGATAATTATGATATGCCTAGTATTTCTACTACAAGGATATTTATATTGTGACACAGAAATTGAATATGATCTCGCGCTAAAGGTTAAAAAAGGGCATTTAAAATTGATTGAACATAAGATCACAGCTATATTTAAAAATAAAAAAGCCTCTGTCATGGTTTTATCTAGCAAAGGAAAATTTTAAAAACCTGTACACAGTCACCAAAGTCTAGAAAACAAACCAAAATGTTGTCAATGTTCTAGGTGTAAAATTTCTAAAATTCTACATTTTAGAACTTCGCAGATTTTTTGTAGTGAATGCGAATTAATGTTAAAATGGGGGGAAGTTACTGTTCAAGAAATTTGTGACTTGGGGTAAGTGACTTACCCAGTGAGCAAGATTTCCTTTGCTTTTACCAGGTTTGTATTTTAATAGAAGATTCTTTGTTCAAAAAACAGCAACAACAAAAAGTCGGCTCTGTGTTCCTCAAGCAAACTCTGCCCTGCTGCCGCCGTGCTTCAGTAGGTGATCTGCTTTCATTTGGGCTATTTCCGTGTCGGTTTGATGTATTGCCTTGCGCAGTCGTGTTGGATGGAGAAACTCTCCGTGCTGCTCATGCGAGAGGACGGTTTAGAGGGAAAGTGTGGGTTTTCCGGTGGCTTTTGCAAGGATACTAAGCGGATGGGTCATCTGCCCTGTGTTTACTGTAAGGACTCTGTCACTTTGTGCTGTCATGTGTACACTCTTTTTGAGACTCTAGAGTTATCAGGATGGAGATTAAGTCACAGTAGATCATTTACGAGTTGTGGCTGAATCAACCCGTGTTGGGCACCTGTCCAGACTGTGGCAAGTGGCGGGAGAGAGGGTTCATCCAGGGCTAATGTAGTATAGCTGCTTTAGTTTATTGGGCTGGTACTTACCGGCTTAAACCTAGAGCCCCGCTCTCTGAGGACCCCCAGGCTCTAACGCAGCACCATGAATAGAGCTATAACTTAAACGTGAGTCAATGAATTTTTAACTCAATGAATGAGACAGGCAACCCGATGAATGGGTAAACATCAATGGACAAATGTATGCATGAATTAAAGAACCCATCCTGGATTCCACTTAGAAATTGGAGAAACATTGCTGGCTTACCGAGCCTCTTTGGCTCCTGAGCTCTATGACCGAATTAAGAAACTAAAGGGAGAAAGAAGGCCTTGCTTGTGTCTCATCATCGCTGCTCTCATTAATGAAAGTTTTTGAGGACTAGCCAGTCCGCAATGACCCCCAAAACATCGTTCACATCTGAGTGCGTCGATATTCTTGTGGCTGTATTGCAGAGCTGTCTAGAAACAAGGATACTGTAAGTCAACTTATTTTGGGCACTCACAGCCAGCAGTTCTGTCTTCAATAAATGATTCATGCCCGAAAAGCATTTAGGTACATTTGTTTTCTAATAAATCTCTATCCAGGCCCATTATGTTCGAATCAGGCCCGGGAAATTGCCGAGGTTCGCCTGGCATCCCTGTATGGAGATCAAAGAAAAAAGGTTCCTGACCTCGCCGTATTGATCTCCTATCACCCCGACTCCTTACCAGAAAATAAAGACTGGCAGCGCCAGGACCTGCAGGACTTCAGGGTCAAGGGCCCTTCACAGCCAGGGAGAAGAAAAAGGGCCCAGATGCTGGCATCTGAGATGAGGGAGGAAAAGAAGATTCACTTGCTCATTTACTTCGAAAGCCTAGTTCTTCCAAGCTGACCCCACTGAATGAGCTGTCACACTGTGACGGCTGGCCCAGGGCTTCCTCCAGGCTCTGCTCCTGCCGACCTGCCTCTCCAGGTAGGAATGCCTGCGTGTTCCCAAGAACCGGCAGCACTGGGGTGGAGGGCTTGGACAAATGGCATCTTCCCGTTTTCTGAGCCACAGATTTGGAACTGATAATGGGGGCCCTATCATCTGCCCTGCAGAGCCCCTGCACATTCCTGGCCACACTGAAACCTCCCACCACTCTGTGGGATCAGTGCCGCTGTCAGTATTTCTGGTGGCAGAGGAGGAAGCCGAGATTTCCAGAGGCTGTGTCCGAGCCCATAAGGATACGTAGATGGTCAAGAGTCAACTCAGATGCCCTGACTCTCGATTCTGGACTTCTGCGCTGCCTGATTCCACCACTGTAGAGTCAGATTCGAGGTTCCCCAGGGGGGTTGAAGCCCAGGTGCACATGCCAGTGCAAAGTAAGCTCCTGATCAGCCTAAGGCTTCCTAGTGTGCATTTGCACAGAATCAGCTGGTTTGCGCATTGTCTCATACCCATCTAGTTGTTACCCAGGCTGGAAGCTTTGGTTGCTATGCATCTCACTATCTGTGCTGCTGGAAGCCTTCCAGGTTTGGACCTGTTTATCTCGTGATCTCTGATCTTTCCAGCCCTAGTGTTTTATCTGGTGAGAAATGGTGGTGATCAATCCTGATGGAGCAGTTGGCCCTGGTAGGCTAGGTGGGCTAGGCAGGCTGGGCTTCCTGAAAGAGAGATTGTGCAACCTTATCAGCGTTCCCATGGGTGTGGCTGTCTCTAGTGGCTCCGGATTATCATCCCGAGCGTTTCCTGGCAGAATGTGAAGTTGCCGGCTATGTGGAGCCTGGGTAAGTTGCAGAGAATTGAAGAGATGGTGGTTGAGCCTGTTCCCCAGTGGGGATTAAAATAACTGAAA